ATGGAATAATTAGTCAGGGGCATGCAACAATCCTCCTGCAAATAAACGAGTGGGTTATAGGGTGAGAGAGACAACTGCCTTCTTCACACTCCCTGTACATGATGATAACTGGTCACACTACTTAATGCAGAAAATTTTTTAAGTGCAAGCCATTTAATAGCAGTACTTATCTCATCACTCTAATGAGCCCAACACAGTCTTAAAGTCATTTAAATGGGAGTTTTTGCATGAGTAAAGTCATTGTGATATGTAAGTGTTTGCAGGATCAGCCCCTAACTGCCCAGAAACTATTATGTAGTGTTACTGTGTGCTGTTAAACTCTAGCTATATTCTACCACAGAGGTGGCTGCATTTCAGTGGTGGGTGAGATGATTCATCTATAACCTTACCCATGTCACTTTGATGAAGTGAGGCTTAATTATTATTGTTTGTGAAGGGCGTGCAGATCCTCAGATTAAAGGTATTGTAGCAGTCCAAAGCATTATTGTTTCTCTGTGCCACTGCATTTCAACAGCTACTTCCTGTTGTTATGAATTTGAATGGTGTTAATTTATGTTAACAGGGTTCTTTACTCACCAGATTGCTGTGTGAGGGATCAGAGTAGGCTGATGTAGCAAAGCGTGCAAGGCCCTCATTATAGACAAATATCCTCAGAGGGTCACATGATGTCACCAGCACATAAATCCTCAGATCAAACTTAAAACGATCAATAATAAAAGGCTGGAAAAGAGAAGATGAAACCGAGTTGCTTATAGTTTGTTTGAAGTACAAGAAGAACATTAGTAACTCATTAACTCAAGGCTGAGGTGATGAAAATAGCTGTACAGTCCCACCTACAAGCTGAAAAAACAAAACCAAGACATGCAAACCTTATAACAATACTTAGCACATATACATCACCTTCCTTCTTCAAAGTGCTAGGCCGATATTCAGTAATTAAGCCTTACAGCATCCTTTGGGAGATAACAACACTTCCTTATCTATCTCCATTTTAGAAATTGGGAAACTATCTAGGTTAAGACATTCCATCCAAATAAGGGTAATTGCAAACCTTATGCAGAGCATGATCATTTTAATAAGATCACATTATTAGAACTAGTCATGGACACTTAATAGATCTAGGTGTTCTTAATATGGTTATATAGCATCCAGTAGAATGGGCCCTAATTCTATTTGTGGTCTTGAGTTCTACTATAATGCAAACAACAATTTACATGTACCCCAGTATCCTGTATATAATCAATTCTTGCTAGAGTACCTTCCTCTTATAAATCATGTTTCTTATAGTTATTCAAATATTGGGAAATTAGGGAAGATAAAAACAATAATGTATTCTATGGTACTGAGGACAGCCGCAACACTATAATAATAATGAAATTAATCCATCATAGAGTTCTTTACATGTTCTGAGCGTTGAACAAACTAATTAATCGTCACATAGACCCTATGAGGTAGATAGGCTTCCCCCCATTTTAAAGGTGGGGAAACAGACCCGGAACAGTGATTTGCTGAAAGCCGCACAGTGAGTCAGACCAAGAGCAGATATAAAACCCAGAAGTTCTGAATCCCAGCTCCCCAGACCATGCTTTATCTCTCTTAAAAATCAGTAATAAAGAATAATAATGAAACATATCAGCGTAAAAACGTAGGTTCTGGTATTAACATTATAGGAAGGGCCGGCTCCAGCTTCTTTGCTGCCCCAAGCGGCGAAGCGAAGAGGAAAAAAAAAAAAAAGATAAAGCCGATCGGCGGCACTTCGGTGGCAGCTCAATCGTGCCGCTTCCTTCTTCGGCGGCAATTCGGCAGCGGGTCCTTCGCTCCCTCTCTTCCTCTTCAGCGGCAGCTCAAAGAGGAAGAGAGGGACTGAGGGACCCGCCGCCGAATTGCTGCTGGAGACCCAGACGTGCTGCCCTTTTCCATTGGCCGCCCCAAGCACCTGCTTCCTTCGCTGGTGCCTGGAGCCGGCCCTGATTATAGGTGTCCCAAAGACACAGGAGATCTTGGAGGCTTGAATGTGGATGTTCGCTATGAAGAGAGGGTAATGCCAAGATGTCAACCAAAAGATTCTTGAGTAAGATAGGTTATAAACAGGTTTGTGGGACTGGGTACAAACAATCCCTTCACTCTCTCCTCCAGTTGGGCCTACGAAAATATTGTGTATCTTTGAGAGCTAACTTACTCTACAGCAGGAAGGAGATTTCCCTCATCCAGTTAGGTTCACCCAGCAAAGGTGAATTAGTTTATATAAAAAGCTTATTCAAAAATTACTTAGGAACCCAATGGCACACAAAAGAGGGATTATTTCAATGGGCATGTATTCAAAGGCAATGACTGCTGTTTATGACCGGCTGATCACAGGCAAGCAAGGCTGAGCTGAATTAAACTCTGGTTTAATGACAGAACAGTAGTCTTGGTATGTGGAATAGGGAGATTACCCTTGAGATGTAGAGCTGGCAGATCATATCCTCTCCGGGTTTTATGTCTTTCACAGATCTGGTGATGAAGATGCCTCTCCCCTGACAGCCAGAGTCGGGCTTACAGATATATGTCTTATGTTTCCTTGATCTGCTATAGGTCTGCAAATCTCCGTAGCTATAGGGAAGGAAAGAAAGAAAGAATTACATGATTCTGAGGTTTGATGTCTCACAGCCTACCAATGCTAGAAATGTTTTGGCAGACAAATGCAAATGTTTACAGAACCAGTGATCACAAAGGAAAAAAATCTCTCTCCCCAGAGCCAGGAATACAACCTGTTCTCTAGCTCTCAGTAAACCTTTATTTCCAGTAGACGCAAATTTGGAGTGAATCACACAGTCTTATGGGAATGATCCCTTTTTTGATTTTTAGAGAAAAGAGACTTTTAATATGATGTAGAAATCATCTCCTCTTCCAACAAGGGAAGATACCTCATCCCATTGAGTAATACAGCAATGGACTTCATCCAGAAAGTAAAAGGAAGTTTATTCCATTCACTGCCAAGGGGCTTGCATCGCCAATGAACACACTCCTGCTGCATTCAGCTCAAAGCGACATCATTCTACTCTGAAAATGTTCCTCGTCTTTTTCCATTACTCTGGGTAAAGAAGAGAGCAGAAAGATAATGGGTTTGATTCTCTTCTTACTTGCTCAAGTTTTACTTTGGGGCATCTTCATGGAGCGCTAAGAAGTTTCTCTCAATTTACACTGGTGTAAGAGGAAACTCAGGCCCAGAGTAAGGAAGGCTGACATAAAGGATGAGAGGAAAAAGTGAGGGTGATGGTGAAGAGAAGCAAGACGAGGAAAATCAATCAGTAAACATTGTCAGGAAGACTCACTCAGCAGGAAGACACCAGGTCCTGGGAAAGAAGTTAAATTCTTTTGGAAAGAGCTTTAGCATCCTGCCCATATTCCTGGCCAGCAGATCCTTCCTACAGATTTCACTCATCCCAGGGAAGTGGTTGATTTTCTGGAAAGAAGTCCAGAGAAAAGGGGTAATAATAAGCATCTTCCTGGCCTCTAGCTCATTTGCAGTGGGGAAAAAAAGTAATAATTTAATATCCTCTCCACCTCACAGAGCTGAGTACCTGGTAACTTTTCATTTCCATTACCCGATCCAGTGAGACTGAATAGTCTGTCCAATAGAGGTTCCACTCATCATTCTCACCTGCTTCCCGTAAGCCATACTGCTGAGCAGCCCGACGCACTGCATCGTAAGAAAAGAAACAGTTTCAATCATACTAGAAATGTAGACTTTAGAAAATTCTGTTTGGACTCAGAAGGAGATATTGAACCGTGGTTCAGTTATACCACTCAACTCAGCCATCTATAGACCCCAATTCCACTTTGAGTGGCAGCTTCCAGTCCTCTAATCTCTATGGATATGCTGCCCCCAAATCATCCATTTTCTCTGACAAATTGGACAGTCACTGGTGACTACTGAACAAGTTGACCTCTCCAGTATGCTGCTAGAAACTTCACACTAGCTAGCAAAAATTGCGAGATGGAGTAAGCTTCTGTTGTTGTTGCATTGGTCTTTCTGACTAATGGTGAAAAGCAGAACTTCTTGAAATAAAAACATTAAATGATTCATTTTATGTGGAATGGAGCCATTTGAACTGGTTCCCCATGTTCCAAATCCATGACAAGAATTCAAATCTTGCATTGGCAAAAGTTCATGGATATGAATTCTTGCCTAACTTTAGTCATGATGAGGGAAACGTATTTGATGATCACAAGCTAGTCCCTGTAGACAATTCAACATCATTAGCAGACTATGCTTGGGGAGGGCGAGTAATAAAACACCAGGGATGCTGTGGGTCAATAATGAGATACGCTGGGAGAGCTATGTGGTGCCAAATGTGTGGTATAATAGGAATGCTGTGGGTCAGGAATGAGTTTCACTAGTAGGGGAATCTTGAACAATGCTTGCCCAGACTGCATGAGGTTTCTAAATGATGCTTTCATTAGGACATGTTCATAAGCACTAAAATTCAGTTAACAAGTCACATGACAAAATAAATTTCATTTTAAACTGAGCTCTTTTTTCTTAAGAGCAAATTAAAATGTACCCCTCTTTACATGAATCGACTGGGTCACAATTCTTTGGCTTACCTTCTACATTTGGGAAAGATGAGAAAAATACTCACCACTCTCATACTTGCAGTTGGTCAGACTTATCACAGGTCATCTGGAAAAAAAATTAAAAAAGCAGAAAGACAGAGGCATACAGACAAGGACCAGTTTACGCTTTATGGGGAAGCCCTGGGAACTTTACAGTTGTACTTCCATAAATTTATGTAAAGCATTATCTAAATGTTCATCTGATAGGCTATTCACCAGGATTGATCACTGTTTTTTTGCTCAGTGGTCACTTAGAAAATTATTTGCTGGAGACAAACCAAATAACTACGCATCTAGAAAGAGAATTCAGTGATGAGCACTACAGAAATGCCTGTAAAGATAAAATAAAAAATAATACTAGAATACCAGAATACTAGAAAACCAGTAGTTATGGAACCAATGTGACTAAGTTTATAGGAAGAGCACTCTTTCAGTTACAGTGCGAGAAAAAGATATGGCAGTTACTCAACAAGACTGGTTATTTAGGAATCAACCTATGAATGGGATGCCCCAAAGTCATGAGCCAAAGGCCAAGTGATCAAAGGGCGAATGGGGATTAACAGAAAATATTTATGCTCAGAGATTGTACACGTTCTTCTTCTCCTGGACTGTTCTGCAACCCTTACTAGCATATCCATTTCACATCAGAACGAGAGCTCTACTGAACTATGTTCTTTCCATGAACACTAGTGTATAACTATTATTACTATTGTTTATGATGGTAGTAACTATTACCTGTTAGGTTCTTTCTATACATTCAAGAAAAGGCAGTCCCTCCTCTGAGTAGCTGACAGCCTACAAAACTTAAAATCATCACTTTTTCTGAACACCAGAACACTTTCATTTCCCCTCCACTCCAGCACAACACTTATCTATCCCCCTCACTACAAAAATCCTGTGTTCCTCCCCTTCTGCATAGCACCACTCTGAACACCCTGTTCTCCAACATCTCTTCCCCCCCCCGTTACCCTCCTCTATTTTCAGTAGCTCAACTATAAACATATTCTGCCCTCTTCAGGACTTTTACAGCCCTTTCAGTAGTTATTTCTAACCTCTTTCTCTTTCTTTTCTTTTTCATGGATATGTTAGGATCTTGAATTCTTCTTTTCTTCTCTTCACACCCCATTGTATCCTGGTCTATGGTATCCAAGGCATTATCTTCTCTTTCTAGTTCTCTTGGTAAAAAGTCTAGTTCAGTTACATCTTTCTCATCCGACTCTTCTGTTTCCTGCTCTACTTCTTCAAAGGATCCATATTTTTGCAGTATAGCTGATGCCATCATCCTGTGGAAACATCCACAACAGACCAGAAGAAAAGTGAACAGTGTACAGGGATGAGCAACAGTTCCATCAACCTTTTCGTGGATCCAGCTGCTTCCTCAAATACAGCTGATAAAACAGAATAATGGATAACTCCCTGCATATTCCCAAGTTAGGAAGAGAGATGTTCATCCCCTCCTCATGAGTCCACCCTCCATGCCTCTCTCCCAATTCGGACAGGATCAGAAGAAATATATGTATGTACCTATATATGTATCTTCTTTTATCAATAGTGATTCCCATCTGAATGGTATCTCTGCACAGGGAAATAGATTTGTCTGATGCTGACGAATATTTCTAAACTCCTGCTATCTGTGATATTATGCTAATAGAACATCAGGAAGCTGTCTTGGTGCGGGTCCTTAGTGTTAGTGCAAGAAACTACAGTGGAAGGATTAATAGCTTTTGTCTCATTAGAGTTAGTGCTCCCTTAACATCTTGTTCTTTCTCTCTTCCTAAAGGTTCAGTCTTGCTCAGACTTGAGAAAGCACTAACTGCTAAAGCACTGACTGATATGCACCTAATCTGAATGCCAGCTCAGTGCTAACACATGATCAGAGGGATGAGATGAATCAGCATCTATCAAATCTACAGGTGAAACCCTAGTCTAACAGATCAGGGTCTGCTGTAAACAGAAATCTTTGGCAAAGTAAAGAGAGATTAACAATCTTTATATAGAAGTTAATGTTTCTCATATATCTACAGATACTACCCTGCCCTTCCAGCACGGGGTTGTATTTATAGAATGCTCCAGGAGGTAAGGATTCCTTTCTCTTAAAGTATAAATAGCAAGTGGTTCAGAAAACAAACTCTATAAAACTTTATATTAACAAAAATGTTCTCACCCTTTTTATTTAAATCATCATTTTTGTTTGCACTTAAAAAAATTCCTTGCAGTATTTACCACGTGAGTGGTAAACACTGTGCTAACTTTTGAGAACCAGAAAGTGAAACCAATCAGAAAGAAAAAGCTAAATTGACCAATCTATTTCCATTATTACATACAAAGAACTGAACGAAGCAGGGGACCTGTGGAAAAAATTGAATATGATCATGTAATTAAAGACTTTATTGTAATGCACATGCACAAGGGAGGTGAATTAGGACACAGCCTAACGTTGAGCGCTTGACTGTGCAACTTTAATAATGTTCTTTTAATGTAGTTTTGTGTATGTGATTTTTGAGGTTTTTAAAAAAAAAAACTGAAAAAACAATTTCCATCATGTGGCAGCGTATTGACATCCATATGGGTTATCAGCATTGTTGCAACCTTTAGCCCCACCACACGGATCTTTGCCATTTGAGCTAACAAGTAACTGTCATCCTCTATGTGAACCAGTGCTAGAGGGGAATGGAACACTTTGCCGGTGGGTTTCAAATATGTTTGAAAAGATTGACAGGATTTATTAACATGGGCAAAACGACATGTTTTGCATTAGCCTCGTTCTTGGAAATGCCTGTAAAGTGTTGGCTGAATTTTATTGTTTTTAATTCAGCCTGAGGCAGATACCCAGAATGGAAAATTTCAGCCTAAATGGTTAAAGTTTGGCAAAGTTATAAGCAACTGAAAACAGAGTCTTATAATGGGAAATGTTGAGCAACCTTAATAATATGTGGTACTATCAGGAGCGGCACCAGGGTTTTTGCCGCCCTAGGCGGCAGCGCTCCTCCACAGTAATCGGCGGCAGCTCCTCCTCTGAAGCTGCGTTCTCGGCGGCAGGGATCCCTCCGCTCCGGGTCTTCAGGGCACTTCGGCGGCAGGTCCCGGAGCAAGTGAAGGACCCGCCACCGAATTTCCACCGAAAACCCGGAGCAGAAGAAGCCCCTCACCGCCGAAATTCCGCAGAGGGCGGCAAAATGCCACCCCCCCCACATCCTGCTGCCCTAGGCGACTGCCTAGGGTCGCCTAGTGGAAGCGCCGGCCCTGGGTACTACCAGCCTGCCTATAATACAAGGGGATTAAGTGCAGAGAGCATATGAATGATTAAATTTGTATGTATTTTTAAAGTGCTCAGATTTAATCATCTAAATACTATTAGTAGCACAACCAAATCTATAATTAAAAAAACATGTTTCACTTTTAATTTGACAGTATCTTTTTAAATGTTAACCTTAATCTATTTACAAAATTTGACCTGGATTTCTAGCTCCTGTGCCCAGAATGAACATTGGGTTCCCACCAACTCTGGCCACAGCATGGAGAAGAAATAGCATGTTACAGTTTTTATCTAGTAGTCGTCTCTGGGGTAAGGGAGTCACAGACAGACAAAATAACAGACACAAATCCCAATTGATGAAAGAGTGAAATATGCCACATATACATGGAGGGCCTGATTCTAAACTCACATTGATGTAAAGCAGAAGTTATTCCACTGAAGTCAACGGAGCTACATTGGAGTAAAACTGATGGGGGCTGTCCATAAATTACGTAATACGTATTTTGGTGATTTTCAAAACCCACCCATCCCCTTGTAACACTGCAACAAACACTCTGTCATGCAAAATTAAGGACCACCAACCCACTAATATATTATGTTATGTTATTTATGGGCACCCTCATGTAAGCGAGATCAGAATTAGGACCAATATCTTCAAGACGTTTGTGTGTTTCAGTATAACTGCTTAGATCTGGCTTTCCACTATAGATCATTATAGCTTCTGTCAAGTTAGAGAACCCTGAATATTGTTTTTTGTATTGTCTCACATTTTAAAAAATAGAGCTTTTCAAAGGAAAGTGTAAAATGTATCTTAATGATCCTAGATCAGTACAGTTCTTTTGAATTTTTTTATTTATTTATTTTAGATAATATAAATGCAGTAGCTTTTTGGCAAGACAAAGCGTGGTATAAGCCCCAATCCTGGAAGATTAACCACATGGACTGACCCACAAGCAAAGGCACAATTCAATAATTAGCAATCTTTCACAAAAGAGAAACTACGATTCAATCGTTCCCCCAAAAATTCCAATGGAAACAGGCTTTTAATTTAAACAACATAAAAGATAAGCAAATGTTCCACTGCAAAGTTTACAACTATTGCAGCTATATGCTACTGAACAAATAAAATAAAAAAATGAAATTGACTGCAAAATAAATGCAAAAAGGAAACAGTGAAGAATAAATTAGATATAAATATTCTTTTCATTTTTATAATCTAAAGTGTTGCCAGTAACACAGGTGAGGAATTTCTATATAATTCCTGTGTTACTGGCAACACCTTAGATTAAAAATATTATTAAATTTGATATACGGTAAATTCTTTTCAACTGACATTGTCCCTGTAACACACTGATTCATCCCTGCTGTAACTCCCTTGAGCCTTGTCTACATCAGACTTTTCTGTCAAAAAATTCGCACTGGTACTATATCTGGTTCAGTACCATTGCATAACAAACGGCAGTACTAGTGCAGACCAGGGGCCACTGGTATTTTTACTGTCATGTATTTAAGACTTGAACAGGGTCATAATCATAAGACGTAGCCAGGGTCATAAGACATCAAAAATGCCTATGGCCATAGAAGTCACGTCTACTCTAGCACTTTTACTACAGCTACCACTGGTGCAGTTAAACCAGTATTAACAATTGGCAAATTTTGGCAAAACCCCTAGTGCAGACAGCCTTAAAGTCCCTGGTATTACACCAGGGTTGAATTTGGTCCACCAGCTTAAGTTGTAAAGGAAGGATTTCTAAAACCATTACTAATCATACTCTAAAAAAGACAGGAGTACTTGTGGCACCTTAGAGACTAACAAATTAACACAGCTGCTACTCTGAAAACTAATCATACTCTGTTTTGAGGGCTCGTGATGACATCAATGTTTGCAGGACAAACACACAACATTGAACCCTTGGAAGGTAATTGAAGAGACTGATCCTGATCCTCCACTGCTTTGAATCTTGTGTAGTCATTCACATCTGCGCAAAGTGGATGAAAGATGCTACCACCAGTGAGTGAACAATCTGGTAGAATTATACATTCATTTCACACTTTTTGCATAGATGCAAATGATGACACAAAGTGAAAAGGAGTAGAGATGCCAGGCCCCTGAATTTAAAATGTGTCAGGAAATGTTATTGTATTTGTAACATACAGTCTTTTTTTCTTATTTATATATAGAGTATAACTGATTGAATCAAACTATTTTTTAAAACATTTTATATCCAGGCCTTTTTTACTCCAATCCAAAGACTACTGTAGTCAATTGGAGCCCTTCTATTTCTTTCAGTGGGCTTTTGACAGAGTCCGCATGCCACACTCATCTCTGCGGTATCTGAACATACACACATAATTCAGGATGATTATTATTGGTACATATTTACATATTTTCTCCTAGCATCCCAATTTTTTAATTCTGCATTGCTCACGCAGAACCACCACCTGCTTGGTGGAGAGTAGATTAAACTGCAGCTACAGATTCTTCAAGCAGCAACTTGCAAACTTACTTTTAGAAATTTTATTTTGAGTAATGTAATTTATAAATGGCTTTTAGTTCACTTCTGCCTAATCAGACAGTGGGGGTGTTTCACCAGAACCATAGTGAAATCTGTGTCGATAATACAAGATTACCTATCAGTCACTGCACAACATGGATAAATTATTGAACAATATATGTCCTTGTTTACCCTCTGTCTCATCTCCTCAGGAGAGGAGTATGAAGAATGGGAAGGGGAAATATTGTTGGGTAATGAAGTGGGACTAGAGACAGAGGGCATGAGTGAGTGACTGAATATAAACAACAGGCACTGGGCTCAAGGAAAGAACAGTAACACCCAGTAAGACTTTCACGAACAAAGACACATAGGCCTTCGCAGTTTCTGAACACTTATGTGGCCCTCAGCAAGCAGTCCCAGACAACAAATGGATACAGCAAGGGCAAGACATAGTCAGATACTGTGCTGCATACACAGCCACCCTGTCTAGGGGAGACAAGGGGTTTTTAGTACAATATTTATAATGTCCCTACGTCTGCAGTGCCCACCATATTACTACCTTTGCTAGGGAGCACTGCTCTCCTTCCTCCACCCCTATCCTGACAACAACACTGTCCACCAGAGGTCACCAGTCAGAGGAATGGGTAAGGGGACAATTCAAATCTGGCAGCAGTAAGGAAAGCAACAATAATGATGAGGTACTATTCCCAGAAGAGGGGAAAAGAAGAAAAAGTAAGGGATTGCTTCCTGTCACTCCTCACTCTTGCAGCGGGGTGGGCCTGTGGGGTCCCGCCAACCCTGCTCCAGTACTGGGGGGCAATGGGAGAGCTCTGCATCAGGGTGGGCTCTGCGCAGGGGAAAATAGAGAGGAATCTGCACAGGGGGAAATGGGGGGGCAGCCCTGCACTAGGGCTAGGGCCAGAGGGACGCTGAGGTGGGGGCTGCGTGCACTGGAGGATAATGGGAGGTTCCCCGCTCTTACCTGACCCTGCTCC